TGTTTTAAGAAAAGTATTAAAACATTATTAGCAAAAAAGTAAAAAAACTTCTTAAAAATATTTTTTTTTGTATGATCAAAGGATTAGTAAAAAGAATTTTTTTTTTTAATATATGAGAGATCATATAGAATTATAAAAAATAGATACAAATTATTATAGCATTAAAATTTTTATTATTTATATTGTTTTTGTTAAATATAACTTTTTTTATTGATTTTATTAATTTTTATTTAGTCAATTATAGAAAAAACAATTTTTGTTTATGATTATAATTTTTAAATTTTGTAAAATATTTTTAATAATATATTGATTATTTAAATTTTTAATTTTTTATTGATAATATAATTTGAATATTTGTTAAATGTTTTTAATATTAGTATATTAGTTTAATTAGATAATTACTTTTTACAAAGTTTAAAATAGAAGTTTGAAATATATTGAAATTATTATTATTTTTTAATTATTTTTTATTGAAAATTAACTTTTAAACTTAAATAATTATTTTCTAATCATTTCTCTATTTTCAATACAATTGAAGATATGGACTGGTTTCAATATTATATTTGTATCTTAAATATATAAAGTTGGGATATACTAGTAATTATCTTTTATAAAATTTGATTTTTCTAAGAAATAAATTAAAAAGTAGTTTATTTTGAATATTATTAATGTTTAAATTTTAAATTTGTTTATAATTAATATATTTTATTAAAAAAAGTAATAATTAAAATTTTTTTTTTACAATATCCATTAATTATTTGAAAATATAAATATATTTTTACTCAAACAATATAATACATATTATAGCTAAACATTTCTATCAAATTTAACAAACTTATAATAAACAATAATAATTTCTAAGTTTGATCTTAAAAACAATATTTTGCTATACAATGGTCATTAAATAAATATCTTTCTAGTTCATTATATCATTGTTAACAAGTTATTATTACTAAATAACCTATCAAGCCACAAGAATACATAAAATTACAAAAAAATAAATTGAAATAAAAAGAAAGGAAATATTTAAAAATATACAAATATATAATAAAAAAACAAAATTGAAAAATTGAAAATAAAAATTTTTAACTTTTTTCAAAAATCTGTTTTTAAGACTTCTTTTTAATAAAAAATACTTAATTAAAATATTCTTTCTTTTTTGACTATTTGAGAAACTTATTCATTTTTTATCTTAATTTTATTTTTATATATAATTTAAAAAAATTTATTATCTAATAGAAATCTTTACTTTTAATAAAATACTCAGTTCTAATCTTTTTTAAATAGTAATTTTGTATTTATTTGCAATAGATAGATGACTTATGATAGATTCCAAATTCTTATATAACTCAATAGAAACTAAACAATATTGTTTTAGTATAATACATTCTAACAATTTATGCCTAATTAAAGAATTTTATTGGTGAATATCTTCTATTATTAAAAAAGTCAGATTCTATAACAGTTCTTTTGCTTTATAATAATATAAAGGTTAGTTATAGCAATAGGAATTCTTGTTAATTATAATATTCTTTAACAAATTTTAAGAAAATATATTCTCAACTATAATTAAAGAATTAAAGGTTAGTATAAACTAAAGATCATTTGATCTTATAACCTAACTGGAATAAGAAAAAAATCTTAATATTAAACTTTGTTTAGAATAATAAAAAAGAAAGATCTTATCTTAAACAAATAATAACTTTTTATTACTTGAAAATTTATTTCTCATATTTTATTAGCCTTATAAAACTTGATTTGTAGATTAACTTAATTGAAGAAATGGAATATGAATATGATATTAATCAACCCTTTTAATTATCAATAATATTATTAAAATATATGAATATAATCAATGAAAGCTTGTTTATATCTTGCTATTAATATGTTTAGTGTCAATTGATTAAATGTCATATGATATTATGCTAACGAAAATTCAGGATCAAATTGAAATAGGCAAAATCTTCAAGAAATAATGAAAAACAGCAAATACTTCAAAAAAATCAAGAACAGTATATAAGAAGATGAGCAATAAACTTTTTTCTATCAACAAAAACTTTATTTTCTATGACTTTCAACTTTAAAAGATGACATTTTACTAGTTAATATTTTCACTTCCTAAAACTTTTTTGTTTTTAATAAAGAAATATGTACTTGAATTTATTTAGACCATTAGAGACTCAAGTTTTTGTTTAAAGGAACTAATAAGCAAGTAGAAAAGAACAGCGACAACTTATGAAAACAAGCTTCAGGTTGTTTTAAGGAAAATATAAAGACTTTATTAATTAAGAAGTATAAAAACTTCTTGCAACCATCTTTTTTATGTATAATTAGAGGATCAGTAAAGAGTTTTTAAAAAAAATCAGTAATTAATTTTTCAAATAGAATTTACAGTATATTAAATTATATAATAATAAATTATATTAATTAATTATTATGAAAAGACAAAAAAAAACTCTTTTCTTTCACTTTATAAAAAATTTTTTAAGCAAAAATTTTTTTCTTTATTTTATACATAAATATCAATACTACAGCAGATAAATTTTAAGAGGTATTGATAACATATGAGGTTTTTTTACCTGACTTTATTGTGCATGGAAAGTTCCATGCCTGTGAAAGTGTAATGATCCTGCACTTTGTACATAGCAGTAGTCTGAAATGAAATCCTTTTGGAAGAGGGATACTTCTGAAACATGGCTTTATGTATACCTGAGTTATCATAAACAAGTATGCGCTTCTTTTATTTTTTCATAACATTTTAATCCTCTTTACCTCTTCTTTTACTCCTGCTTTTTTTTTTTTACCTTTTCGTTTTTCACCCTTCCTGCCAACAGATAGCTTTTCCCTTTTTCAAGGTTTTTTTCCTAGGCCTCTCACTCTCTCCTATACCAAACCAAGATCTTAATTCTAGTCAAGAAAGTGTGCTTAACTTAAGAAAAAGGACCAAAATAAGACCTCTTAAATTGAAAGGTGAACTTGTGGCAAGGGAGGTCACATTTCCGAAGCTCTAGGCACACCTCTTTATAATCACTAGCCAATTATGTCGTTTGAATGGAGAAGAGGTAGTAACGACGGGAATTTTAATCGGCATCCCGCGTTAGCATTTGAGCCAAATTGAACGAATGGTTAAAAAATAATTTCCTTTCTTTTGTTTAATAAAAAGTGATTGAAATTTTTATCCGAGTCGTTTTTTAGTAGAGTATTAATTAGATTAACAGTTATGGTTCAAAGACAAATTTCATTTTTGTTCAAATCACACTTCATAATTTTTCGAGACAAGAAACTTTATTGACATACGTAAGTCGCTTGAGAAATCATTTTATTATTAGAAAAAGAAAATGTAAAAAAAAAAAAATAAAAAAAAAAATAGAGTAAAGTAAATAAAAAGGAAAAAGAATAGAATTTCGTAAGAGCTAAAGGACTAATAAATGAGATAAATAAATAAAAAAATAAGTAGTAATGGAAATAATGATAAAGTGGTGGACGAGATATTTTTGTTAAAGAAACAAACATTAATACTATTTATAAATAGAATTATAAACGTTGTAAAATGTGACTGAGTCTTTGAATGTAAAAAAGTAACGATTCAAAATAAAAATAAAAATAAAAAACGACTAAAGGCCGTTGTAAGGATTTTCCGGGGGCGATGGAATCGAAAAAAAAATGATTGAAAACGTAAACGAAAACGAACGGGAAACTGAATGGTTAAATTGTTACGTGTCAAACGTAGGACGGCTTTTTTTTTTGTTGTTGTTGTTTTTGTTGTTTTTTGATAGAAAGAAGATTATGAAGGCGAGGAAAAAAATATGAATTTTTTTTCATTAGGTTTTTTTGTTGTTTTTTTTTTTTTTGTTGGTCTTTAAGGGATATTTGTTTTTCTCTGAATATTGCTTGTTGTTTTTTGTTTTTTTTTTAAAAAAAAATCATAGTCTTATCCATAAAAAATTTGAATATATAACATGATACCTTCCCGATACCATAGAAGCAAGACGTCTTAGTTTGTTCTTAGAAATAGATTATTATATGCTGTAAGATCATTAAAGCTATATAGAAAGGAAAATTTCGTTAATAAAGGATAGGGTGAATGGCAAGTGGAGTGATGACTAAAATTTGAATTTTTATAAAGGAAAGTTATTTGGTAATTGGATGGCAATTTTTTTGGACGGTAATAGCGAATGTAGGTGTTGGGGTTTTTCACAATTTTTGAGCGAAACCAAAGTAGACGCTAGCACGGGGCATATATTGTTCACATTCGGCACTGAGTTCTTGAACCAACTGGGCGCAGTCATCCTCATTTCGAAGATTCATTCTTTCGTAAGTGAGAGAAGCTGTGTGTAGGACGAATAACTTGAATGCCGACAAGAAAAATTCCCCAACCTAAAAAAAGGGAGATCGTTAGAAGTTGTAATGTGTATATAGAAAATCTTTGTGAAAACTTCTTACATGTCCAGCCCATTTTCCTATTGGGATATGGCAGTTATCAATTTTTATGTTCCCAAATCCTTGCTCTGCCAACAAGGTCTCCATATTGCTCATTAGATTTCCATCGATATTTTTCGATCTTTGAATTTCTCTCCAAGCATCGACGTAAGAGGTCAGGATAGGACCGGTATTACTTTTCGAATTGGTCGAAATAGAATGTTAGCTAAATTTAATAATTAGCATAAAATAAAAGAGGCTCAAGAGGACTCACGTCGTCTCCAGGTCTTGCTCCTGCGAGAACAGCGAATTTCACGAGTTAATCACCTCGATATTATCAAAAAAACATCAATAACATCTGTACTTACCAGAAACTCTATGAAGCCACCCCTTTTGGTAACTCTGGCGGCTTCCTTGAGGAGATTCTTGAAGCTGTCGGAGTCGAGCCAGAGAAGTGTTACTCTGACGTGGAGCAAATCGAAGGTGTTGTCGGGATACGGTAACGACTCTGCGAGAAGATCGTTACTTGACAAATTAATTAAACGACAAAAGCGATCATATGAAAAGGCATACATACTCAAGAAATCCCCTCTCTCAAAAATGCAGTTGTGGGGATAAACCGTGTCTGGCGTGCGTGGTTCTATGTCGATGCCGTAGAATTGGCAATCAGGATAATCACTAAAAACCGAGAGGGAACATGTGAGACTATTAAAGGAGGGTCTTAAATAAAACCATCTAAAGACTCGGAAAATGATTCATACGTTGCCATTTCCATCATCCATGATCCCCCTCCATAGCTAATTTTCAAAAATGAAATAGAAAAGGTTTGATTGATGTCAAGAATTTGTCTTCAAAAATTAGCATCAACATTACGGCTTACCCAATATCCAAACAGGTCTAGAAGATTAATTGAATTGAATGTTAATATTGAAGCTGAAGGGCAGCTTTCCTAAAAAACCAAAAATCTTACCTTTAGGTTCGTCTTACTAATCGGACTAGTAATGTTTCCTTTAATGAGCAACTTAAAAGCGTAATGCTAAGGATAGAAGAAGAGGGAGAGGAAGAAGGAGGGGGAGAGAGAGAAAGAGAGAAAACAAAAGAAAGGTAATGCGTTAAATGACTGGTCGAGCGACCGATTGATTAGAAGGGAAACTGAAACTTACGAGCAGCAGGTCTCGATCAACCTTTTTTTACCACCAGCAAACGAGGGTTTCAAAGAAAAAAAAGGAAAGGTCAGAAAATGTTAATACAGAGGGACATGAATCGATATATTTAACAATCTGCTTACGTCATGTTCAGAGACGGGGATGAAGTATGCGGAAGAAACAGCGTAATCATTTGCGTTACTCATTATCAAATATTTTCGAGGATTGTGGTGTGTAGAAGAGAACGTGCGTGAAGGTTACAAAATATCGTGGAATTGATGTGAGGGTGATGAGAGGTGATTGCGAGATGGATGGTTGAGGGTGAAAGAGGAATGTAAAGAGGATCGTTTATCAAGGAGGAGAGATTTGATCTCGAAGCAGAATATCCTGAAAAATAATTTAGGAACGGAAATGGGGAAGAAAAAAAAGAAAAAAAAAAAAAAAATTTTATAGATTATATAAAAGAAGAAAAAAAAAAAAAAAAAAAAAAAAAAAAAAAAAAAAAAAAAATTTTTTTTTCTTCATACAAAAAATAAAGCAAACAATTCAGTCACATACTAAGCAACCACAAAGAAAAATCATTATTAACATAAAGTATTTATTTATTTACATTCACATATTTTTAGGAACTCACAAGGTCAGAAAATAGAAATACGTACGTACGTACGTACGTACTAACTGTACAAACACTCTAAATGACCCAAAGTTCAGCAAACATCAAGCATCAATTCATATGGAAATTTAAAATACATTTTCGTGAAATCTTTTGTTCATTGGCATCATGCATAAAAGAAAGCACCTGTCGATTATAACAGACGTCGCAGGATGTCGACGCTATCACACCCGACTTATGATGATCACAACCGAAACAGGCCTCAAATAAATCACTTATTGGAGCAAATATAATGCTCGGCAAATCGGCATTAGCGCACGCATGACTCACATGATGCTCTCCCATTTAACTCCCCCGTGATAAATATGACACCCTGCTTATGAATGTATATGTATGCACTTACCCCCACATCTTATTCATTTGTGCGATCTCCCTTCTTTTTTTCCCCTCGAGGATTCATGATGTCATTGACCACAGGTTAGTTGCACCAATCAACCACATGGAGAGGAAACAGTTGCATGATAGCATTGAATGTTTGAAAGGAAATCGAGACAAACCTGCTTTACATGGAAGATAATGTTTCCAATATCAACGCGGAACGGGAAGCAGGTGAAAAACGGTGCAAGGGCTTCATTCAGAAGGCAATCCGTGGTGATAGAGGGGCTGACACTTGATGAAGGTAAAAAAAATTTCGATTCAGTAGGAGATAATAAGTAATTTGCCATTCACAACAATTCCGGTTAAACCTACCGACCTCTCGGGATTCGTTATTCTTTTTTTTTTTTTTTTAAAAAAAAACTCATTTGGCGTAAAAGAGAAATGACACACGCAAGTCCTACCCATTTACATTGAATAATTATTATTTGATAAATTAGTTGCTACTGTTTGTTGTTGTTGGCTTGAGAAAATGACCTAATGTTTTTTCTCGGAATCATTATTGAGGAGGCGGAGACCAAATAAGGACTGAATCACGGAGTTACGCATGGTTAACCCTTTTCTTTCTTTTTTTTTTTTTCGAGCTGCACATTGAAGACATTACTTGTATTGATTATGCAACTTACTCATTCACCAACAGAAAGCTTCCAAACGCAATAACAACGAGATTTGAATGTAATACAATGTGATTACGTGTACGTACATAAGGCAGGTTTAATAAGCAGTTCACTTTAGTTGGATCGTGAGTAAAAAATGGCTGATGTTAAAGTTTTTTTTTTTTCGACTTTCATCTCGACACATCAACCAATTGCATCATCCTTTTGTTCGATTTCAGATCAGCTCTTTGATTTTTTTCTCAAGGAATATTAACAAGGTCTGCGCGTATGCAACGGGCAGGTGAATACAGGGAAAAAAAAAAAGTTTAATTTAACCTGCACTGACCAGAAAAATCACATTAACGGCGCACATCAGATAATAACTCACTTATATCCGATACGACAATTTAAATTAATATTAAGTTGTCTATTGCTGGAACTTTGGTGTAAACGAAGTTTCGACGGAATTGCCCGACAATTTGGCTTTCGAAAAAAAGGAAACGAAAAGTAGCATAGCCCGCATCCAATTTGTCGGGTTTTTACAACTCATTGAGTACAAATGACAATTCTGGTTTAGTGATTATATTAACATTGCTTCATGCAGGGATTAGGTAATACATCCCCAGCCGCACGGCCGAGTTCGCTTCGATAGGCAAAGATTGCTTTGATATCTTAACTGTTGTTTCTTTAGTTCACTTAAAAGGTTCGCTTCACAATTGATAATGAGAACGAATAAAATCTCAATGTACTTTATATGCGCATTAGCTAATATGTACAGTATATATTCACCCCAAAAGGTCATGGCAATCTACAAATTATTACATCATTCACCCACGTTCTCATTGGTGAAGTTTTTTTTCAATCGCCCGCGTTGATTAATATCGTTTACACGTGATATTGCTACATGTGCGGTGTGAATATTAAAACACGGTATTAGGGAACCGGATATACAACGATAATGTTTACTGCGTACCACCGATTGAAACCAAGCGATGCATATACTGCAAATACGTATTTAGGGACACAAAAATATTCTTAATTTGTCTCGTTAATGTCGTCAATTATCAAGAAAGGTGATATTAGATAAGCATCGTGTCCCTCACATGCTAGGGATTTATGAGCGATGCAAAGAAAAGTCTGTGCAGCCTATTTTCTCCTCATCACCTTCCGAAGTGGCAGATATAAGTTATTTGTATACATCGATGTTTCAGACGCTTCGTGATTTGATTGCCCCTTTCTCCGAGTCTCACTGGTAATGAATTCCTAGACAATGGGAATTTTGTTATCCCTTATTCAAAAGAAATTGATTTCTATGGTCGACCGGTTGAAAATGCATTATACGAATGAATTCGTTTGGCTCTTTTTTTTTTTTTTTAAAAAAAAAAAAAAAAATATTGTCCAATACGACGAAAATCTTTACGCCTGCAAATTTTGTTGGTTGCACTGGACTATCCTCGGGCACATCCATTATGTACGCAGTGTGACACACCAATCCGACTATATGTCTCAAATGTATTTGAACATGCGTATTTTAAAATTTTATTCAACAATATCTGGCGAAACAATAGAGTTCCTTAATTAAAGAATTTTAAATACAATTTCTTTGTTTTCTCTTTCTCTCTCTCGTTTTTTTTTTTTTTTTTTTGTATGAAAACTTGTCTAAAATTCTTTCTGTCTCAAGTACATGCATATGCACAGCCACCATACATGTGTTACATCACGCAGTCAACGAATAAATGCTAGGGGGGAGGGGGGGGGGGGAGTTTATAACTTCTAGGCTTAGACAAATACATTTCCGGTGAATTTATACGCTTATGTGTTATCAGTAATCTAAAACATGAATGTAACTATTTTACGCATATTATACCTTATTTGAATAAATAGTAATTCGGCATATCCTTTCTGTGTTCTTCCCGCTCTCGGCGCCGTCTTTTTAATACTACCCAAAATAGGAAATACCCTCTCGGTAAAAAAAAAAAAAAAAAAAAAAAAAAAAAAAAATGTAGGCTTGCTTTGCCGCCCCTCTCCTCCACATTCATCCCCTTGAATCTGACGGCATTGGGAATGGCACCTGGTGTATTTATTTACAATTGTTGGGTGTCCTCGTTAACAATGGAAATTTTGTGCTTCAATTACATTGATTTCTGCAAAACTTGCCATGTTTTTTTATGTATGATAATTCCGCCGCGTACAAAAAAAAAAACGGCGTAGCGATCAAACTATTCGTCAAGATCTCAGAGTAAACTCATTAGTGCCTTGTGCTTCTGTGCTGTCAAATTAAAGTGGAAAATATTTATTACCTTGAAAGTTTTCTATAGGATGAATGTGCTTCGTGGATCTAGTTTACAAAAAGATGATTATAATTATTACCGAACTAGGAAATAAACAATACCTTATGTAAGCCGTCAAAAAACAAAATCGTCTTATTAATTGCATGAAAATTTTTTGACAGAAACAAAGAATTTAAGTACAATCCCTAAGAAATAAAACACGACAGTTAAGGGTTGGCGGCCAATAACGATAGTATTAAGTTTTCAAGCCCCTGAACGAAATTCATGCATTTTAATACTTCTTACATCATCTAGATGTGGATCTTACAGGTGTATGCGTGGCTACAAATCATGATATTCGTGAACGTAGGCTTTGAGACAAAGAAAATCCCAATGCAACATCTTTGCTATCTTGAAAAAAGTATTACGTAATTATCAATAAGGAAAAGCTCTTTTTTTTTCGTTCTCAAAAGAAAAAGACGAAAGGCATTAAATGATCCGAATCTTAATTGGTCAAAAACAATGGTTGTATAACAAAAACGGTAAATCGCAATCTTTAAAATGCACAATCGAAGAGTTGAACGTACTGTAAATGCTATGCACTAAAATGTTTATAGTTTAAGATAATGTATCATTATTATTTCTTTTTTTTTTTTTTTTTTTTGTTACAAGTTCACCCTATACACTAAGCTTGTACTGTAATGGCTATA